TTGGTTGCTTGGTTGCTTGGTTGCTTGGTTGCTTGGTTGCTTGGTTGCTTGGTTGCTTGGTTGCTTGGTTGCTTGGTTGGTTGGTTGGTTGGTTGGTTGGTTGGTGCGTTCTTCGACTGGCAAGGTGCGTTTACGCGCGCCGGTTTCTCATTCCTTCATTCACCAGTTTGAGGCAAGATCGCCGTACAATCATTTAAGATGATTCGCCGTCAGACATAGGTGCACCATTCCCTCTTTCTGCACGATTCCATGGAACGGGCATCGCATCGCCGGATTTCGGAATTGCTCTCCCGTGTTCCTGTCGCATACCGAAGGGGGGCAGGGCGTGCCCACAATACGCCCGCGATTCTTTGACAATTTTTGTCCACCACCATTGTTTCACAAACTTTCCCCGACAGAAGTCTGCCCAGAGACCCCTGGAGACAGCGAAGTCCGACCAGGACCAATGCAGACTGACTTGCCACCAGTTTGGCCACCAGCCAACTTTTAAGTTTTCAGGGCCTTCCCCAGGCCCACTTCATCAGTTCCCAGTTCTGACTGCCTCACCTTGCCCCTCCTGCTGTTTAATCCAACTTGGCCTTCTCCGAACCCACCAGTTCCCAGTTCTGCTTGCCTCAGCCTTCCCTTGTGTGACCAGCGACTTCGTCGGACAGTGTCGTGTGACCAGTCCTGTTTAGACAATGACGTGTGACCATTCTCCCTTGTGATCAGTCCAGTGCGCCCAACCAACCACCCACGACTTACCACGGTGGTGTTGGAACGCTCTTCTTTGGTGTCCAGGACGGTTTGTTCAACCGTGCTTTGGTGCGATGTGGACCAAGCATGTTGAACTGGTAGAGCAGTTTTGGTCTCTTTTCAACCTGGACCCGACTTCAAGTACGTACCGTACTTTAGGTCGGATGAAGCCTGGGACATGACCCGACTTAGAAACAGGTACTCGCACCCATTTTTCAAGGTATATCTGAGCCTCCAGTGGTCCAGACCTTAAGCCCCCCCTTCAAGCCCCCCCTTAAGCCCCCCTTAAGCCCCCTTCGAAGGGGGCTTGAGCCCCCCCTTAAGCCCCTACGAAGGTCCCCTGGGCCCAGTTCCCTGTCCCAGTTCCCTGTCCCCAGTTCCCTGTCCCCAGTTCCCTGTCCCAAGTTGCCTGTCCCAGTTCCCTGGCCCAAGTTCCCTGTCCCAGTTCCCTGTTCCCACTTCCCTGCCCCCAATTCCCTGTCCCCACTTCCCTGTCCCCACTTCCCTGTCCCCAGTTCCTGTCCCCAGTTTGCTGCCCCCAGTTCCCTGCCCCCAGTTCCCTGTGCCAAGCCCCCTGTCCCCCACTTCCTTGCCAACAGTTCCTTGTACGGAGTCCACTGTGTTAACGCCCAAATTGCGACCAGATAGCCTCGGACGGGCATCCACAAAACATTAGTTCACGGAGATCAACTCCAAAAAAAGAATCTTATGGCCACAAAAAATGCAAAATTCAATGGTGCTCTATCATCCCCGTTCAGATTTGCATGTTCGACCTAGGATAGGTCATTCTGTGCTACAAAACAGTTTCCCCAACATAGGGGACTACAGAATTCATGCCCCGCAAGTTCTTTTTACTACTAGATGACCGAACCTTGGCCATTAAATTACAGAATGCCTGACCCATTGGCCAGGTTCTCGAACAAGTATCACACACAACCCTTTGACTGCAAATTTTCTTGCCTTTCTCGCTCTCTCTTTTCGTTCGCGTCTCTCTCTTTTCCTTGGGGTTCAAAATACCTTTTTTTTGAGGTCGAACAAAACCTTGCAGCTCAAAAAAAATGTGTCGAGGGTTAAAAAAGACTTATCAAATCAAAAAACCTTTTGGGGCTGAAAAAAAGTTCTTGGACGCTCTCACATGGTTTTTTTTCGAACTTGAGGTTGAAAAGAAACCTTTTTGGAGTTGAAAAAACACTTGAGGTTGAAAAAGACCAATTTGGGGTCGAAAAACACCCAGTCCTTGATTTAAAGCACGATGGAATTTGTGCGGACAATCTGGACCACGAGGCTGTCATTCAACAACTTTGCAGAGACATGCGACAGCACAACTATTGGACAATAGGCAAGTTTGCAAAAGAAACCACTTCGCGTTGGAAACGCGAAAAAATGACTGTGCGTTTGTTGGGAATATTTGTATAAGTTGGTTGCGTGCGCAAAAACAATGAGCAAATAACTTGGAGCAGCTGGGTAACTTTTCTGTGTTCAACTCTTGGTGGGACTTCTCATGGGTCACTCTCACTGGTCAAGTTGACAGGCTTGGTAATCCAGTATGGTTTGTTCGAGTGATTAAGACTCAAATTGTTAAGGGTTGGGTTGGGGTTGGCTGGCAGGTGCCGATCATTTATTTTTTCCTAAGAACTCATGTATACTGTATACCGTATACCCTTTTAAAACACTTCAACAATTCAATTTGCCTGGAGTCAGTTCGGGCTTTGAGAGTTTGTTCATTATGTTCTTGGAGAGCCGAGGGTGCATGTGTTGGCCGCCAATGCTGGGTTGCATTTGCCGCTGGGCGAGACGAAACATTGTATGAAAAGACATGTAAGGCAATAATGTTTGTTGTTGGTGTTTGTGTTGAATATATACTGTGCACTTACAAATGGAGGCTATCTTTCAGCAGCCATCGGGCTAGATTACTGGGATTTCACTGCATGTGGCATCCATCATGTACAATTGCATGACTGAAGCTTCACACCGAGACTGATCTTTTTTGCCACTTTGTCAAAGAACCTATTAATAGGTTGGTTTGTTTTAGTGTGTCAACTCGTGTGCCATTCCATCCTTTGTCGCCATGAGCGTATGTGATGGAAAACCTGCGGTGGTGAATGGTTGCACTGTACTTGGAAACTGTGTCATTTGCCTGTGGTAATTTGCTTTTGTTGATTTGAATGTTGATCGTTCAACTTGTGCACATGACTGCCGACCAGGTCTCAAGCTTTGAATTTGTTTCCATTCCCCAATTTTTTTGCGCCATGACGCACAGCTTATCGGAGAGTGAAAATGCCTTGGTTGGCATCACTGCTGGCATCGTAGATATCAGTTGCATCCAGTGGGCATACTACTTGAAAAATGCAAGGCAGCAAAGACTGCCTCTCACGTGGAATCCACGAATCTTGTACCGTGGATATGTGGCCAATTGTGCAAATGTTGCAGCCGGTACCAGCTTCCAATTTGCGACAGCAGGGGCCTTGAAGAAGGTGGTTCTTTGTGGTGAGCATCGTGAGCTGACAGACGCGGAGAAAGTGTGCACAGGCGAACTGGTTGCAACCATTTGATTGAAAGAAATCTTTACAACAGGTGTTACTTGTTTTTGATTGTTATGGAAACTTTCAGGATTCCTTGCGGGCTTTGCATCTGGTGTGATGGCTACCCCACTTGAGCTGGTGATGACCCAACAGCAGCTCAAGGGAGGTTCAGCTCTGCAGAATGCCTTTGGCTCAGTCAATGCAGAAATCAGACGGCATATTGTCATCCTATTTCGGTACTGCTCGGTCTTTTGCGAAGTAACTGCTCAATCTTGCAGGAGGAGCTAGTACACAAAACAGTTTTGCTCCGATGGCTCAACGCAGGCAAGAAGCCTTCCGCCATCAACGGTTTTGAGGGGATGCTTTCCCACCTGCACCCGCGAGGCCAGTCTCAAGATGTCTCAAGTGCTTAAGGATACATGTCGCGCGCCGAGTCTGATTCAGGGCCTTTTCACTGCAGCCTACCTTGGGGTTGCTCCAGTTCTCCGAGCCCATTTGTCTTCAGTCTCTTGTGCAAAGGTTTGTCTTGCAAGCAACTTTAGAGCTTTTCCACATTCTTTTCTTGCTGTGATACATTTTGTATAACGTCCTGATGTTGATACAGATTTCAAGCTTGGGCAGTTTCAGCAGCTTCTTTGACTTTCGTGGCTTTTTGTTGTGCTTTTCAGAATGTAAGGCCTTCCCTGGAACAAATGAGGACGCTTGCCTCGCATCAACATGGCAGCAATTCCTGCAACAAACCAATCTATTGGAAGACTTGTTACTAGTAGCTTCTAGCTACTAGTCGCGATGCACCTGTTCCCAATAGCGATGCACTTGTTACTAGTAGGCAATTTTCTACATGTGCTGACACAGGAACTTCATCGGATGCTTGCTGCCCTAGCAGGTGCTGCTTGCTCAGGGATCCTGTCACATCCGTCTCTTAGTAGCACAACAGAGTAAATGGATGGTTCAGAGATTTGATTCAAAGTCCATGGATTGGCACCATGAATTGCTCCGTCAGCTCAGGTTTGATACTGTACCTGGCTTAGTAAACAAGCTGCTTTAGGCACATTGCACTCTTGACAGCTTTCAAGACGGGTCCAATGGAGTGCCAATGACTCGAGGCAAAGACGTGCATGCAGGGTGATATTGAGCGTAAGACGTACGGCAGCTTCGCACAGACCTGCCGAGAAATCTACAGCTCCGGTGGCGGTTTTCGCGGATTCTACCGGGGCCTCGAATTCCGATTCTTGCGACAAGTTTGGCAAGTCTGGGTTTTGGACTTGCTGCGGGTGAAATTGTCACCACTTCTTTTCCCATACAGATTCAAGGCGGATGCTAATCTTTCTCTTGACTTTGCAATTGCATAGTATTTCATATATGCATAGCCGGGCATGAAGTGACCTGGAGTCAATGTGATGTTGTGAGTTCATCGCTGCCTGACTATGATGGGCAATGTCCTATCCACCATTTTCCGCAGTCGGGTGGTCAGGTAGTGAGTTCACAAGACTCACAAGCGTGAGGAACCTTGCGTAGGAGAAAGAAGATTCTTGGACACACAGATACTTGCTTCGGTCTTTGTACTTTGCAATGAGCCCCGCCTCTCACTCGAGGTCGAAGCCGTGAGACTTTTTTGGAATCCTGGCAGTTCATTGACGTGTGATTATGGCATTCCACGACATCAACGAAGGTGGCAGAAAGGGGTTATGATATTATGGGGGTTATAGGACAACGCTCTTGTTTCCAACAAGCCGATTCAGACGAAAGCTTTCATCTTGGTGTTACCAAGGCAACATTTGGCCTACTGGTTTTGACGACCTATGGCCGTTGTGACTGGGCTGAAAGAAACTGGGTGAGATCACTCTAAATTAATAGCCAAAGAGCTTGTGGCAAAGGCTGGACTAGTGCAATGCTTCCATCCAGTCTAGCAGGGACCTTAGCCTTAGCTGTTTGGAACCTTGGAAGTGCTTGAGAGTCCAAACAGCCTAAAATCCTAAGGCTTCAAGAAGAGGCCCACGCCTCTACTTTGAATGTCATATTGCAAAAGTTTTCTTTTAGAATCATTAATGCCCACAGTCTGCCAGATTCCTAGCTGGACAAAACCTATTTCACTTCTCGCAAACATGTAAGAGAACCTCCCACTGCATGCTCTTCCAGGGGTTTCCAAATGAGCTGACCCTGTGGGCCACCTGGGAGGTACTTCGAGAGTCACAGCCAATGTACATGTCGGTGAACCGCCTTTCAGACCTGCATATGGAATTCCTGACATGCTTGACTTTTGCTTTGGAGTTGGTTTTCATGCGATTGTTCGCTGATTTTTCAATGAACATACATCCCATCCGCTGAAATGCCAACATTGACAGGCTTCGAACCAGCATCACCATTGGGACCTCGAGCCATAGAGGGGGAGGTCGGATCCGAAATCCGGTTCTTCTTTCTATTGTTGGAGGGGATTTGTGAGACCTCCAGACCTTTCGTGATCGCGTGACATCAGGCAGTTCCTGGGCTGCAGCTATGGCTTTCACGGATGGGGCTTGAGGCAGACAAGTGCCACAGTCGAGTCTGTGTGTGTGATGATCCTGTAATCTTGATCAATTTAAGCTGCGGAGGAGCACTTGCCAGCAGCGAATGAGTGGTGCCAAGAAATGGGCCTGAATCCTCATCCCTCATTATCCCTGAGTCTTCACACCATGCTGCGAAAATGGACCAATACAAAGGTGCCTCAGTCCTGGAAGAAGTCATCGATGATTTGGATGACTTCACCGAGGCCAGGACCGGAGATCAGAGTCGCATTCCTAATAAGTCTAATAAGTCCTGTCAATTGGAAGTTGCAGGCCTTGGACATTCCGGAAGGGGACACTGACACTTTGAAGAAGACGGGATCTTGGTCGAATCACTGTGATGTTTGAAATGAGACGGCAAAACAAAACAGTTTGTCGTCGTAGCGAAGCAAACTGCTGTAGGCGGGGCCGAGTTTCCTTTTCGAACTTGCTCCAGCGTGGAGAGTCTGTGGCCAAGTCATGCCAAGTGAACCAGGCCAAGGCGGCCAAGGTGGCCAAGGAAACGTAGAGCAAACCAAATGCGTTTGTGGACCGAGGATTCCCGAGCAGAAAGCTGTCGTGGAGGCAGTCGAGGCATCTATATCCGACAGAAAGATCTTTTTTGCCCGCACCTGTACCGTCATGCTCTTTCTCTATGTCAACAGGAGTTCAAGGCATCTGGCCGAACCTTCATCAAGAGGCCTCCGAAGTTATTCAGTTCTGAGCACGTGGAATCTGTGTGGAATGTGGAATGACCGACTTTCAATGTGACTCGTTGCTTTTCTGCGAACAGTCACCGACGGAGCTCAGGACTTCACAGACGCAAGACTCTTGAAGCTGTGGGCCGGAGCCTTGATCTCGGCATTTTCAGGACAGGAGGTCACCACACCTTGACAGAAGCACTTCCAGGCCGAGATGCTTACTGTGAGAGCTCTGAGGTCTTGGCTCTGAAACGCGCAGTTTCACTCAGGTTGACGCTTTGGACCGTTGCCGCAAAGCGACATGTCCTGTCATTGGCGTCTTCGTTTCTGCTCTTCATGAATTCCATAATGGCATCCTGCAAGCTCAAGTATATACACACTGATTTCCTGCTTTGCCTGGCTGTTTGCCGCATCTATTTATCAAGCTTGAACCCAAACTTGGAGAAATTATGCAAAGTCAGAGCTCCTGTAAGTTATCTCTAAGCTTGTTAGCTTGTTCTTCAGTCAGTCGTTGAGACCCCAGTAGCAGTAAGCTGACATGCTGGGCTGCCACAGTGAAATAGGCCAGCCCTCGGTGCAGCATCTATGAACCTATAGTGATTTGTGTTGAACGCATAAGCTGCAGTGATGTGCACAATTGGATGCTGAATTCGGCCGGAACCTCAGCAGCTGCGCTTTGCGCAAGTTAGCGAGTCTTTAGCCACTGTTCAATTGCTGCAAGCTTTGAAACGTTTCGCCAGTGTGTTTGCTTGAATGGTGCGTGTTGCCAGTTCGTTTTTGGGAATCGCTTTTGAACCGCCTTATTGCACCAACTTTTCTACTGATCTGCTCAGGTGTCGCAAACACCAGGCTCCAGAGGATGTAGGCCTCAAGGCAAGCGGTGCTCAGAACTTTCAATCCCATCATTTGTCCACTTGCCAAGCCATTCGAAAAGGATGATTTGGAAGTATTTGCAATACACAAGAACTGATTGCAACTTGACTTCGGCACCACTTAGAGATTGCCAGGGGAGAGCTTAGAGTCTCCTCCAGCAGTGCGAGCCTCGAATTGAGTGCCGGAGTTTCATTCAAGCACTTGACCAGCTCCGCCCGAGTTCAGTCAGGCCATCCTTTGTTGATTCCGTTGGGTTAGTGAGCATAATGAAAAAATACCTACGCGAATCCCAAAGGATTGGGGCATTTTGGGAGAATGACCTTTGTCTTCTCTAATTTCTTGGTTGTTTTGAGGCACGTCCTCACTTCCTCTCTTTCCGGCACTGTTGGAGCTGTAGTGTTGCACATTTTGTCATCAAGATTGTGAGAGACGCTTGACATTTGCAGCCTTAGTTCGAACAAGTTTACACTATATATATATATATTATATGTTTGCATGCTGCTTGGTCTTTATCCACTTTGCACTCCTCCGTACACACAAACACACAAAATCTCTCTCTCCCCTTGTTTCCCCTTCACTGTTTTGCTGCCTTGGACTCCTTGGACCTGGACTCTCCAAGATTGAAGCCCAACGTTTTTTTTGCTGGATGCTGACAAGGCTCGAGGATGAGGGCAGTTTCAGTTTTTTTACAACCTTGTACTATGTAATGTTTTCTTGTAGCTAGCAGGTAAAGGTCCGAGAAACGGCTTCAGAATCAAACAGGAATCGATCTGCCACCTCATGCCTCAAGTGGCGCACGCTGCCGTTGGCAAGTTTTGGTAAGGTAGCTTTGGGACTTGCAGAGCACTCTCGTGACAACTGTTCAGTCGACTTTCGTGTAGATCGATCGATTCATCGTTTGCTACCATTTTGTCGCAAGGACTCGACGCTCGTCCACCTGCCAGGTGAAACGGGACGGTCGCAAGCTTTTCAGCTAGGGCTTGCAGGGTTTAATCAGGGCGTCTGGTGCTCCTCTTCCCCTGCTGCGTTCCAGAAGCAGTTGTACAACGCTTCATCACGGTGGGATGGTGCTGCATGGACCAGGGTCGACCATGACACACGATCGACACAAGGTCCTCCTGACCGGGGACAGGCTATGCCGGCTGATCAACCTTCTTCGACAGCGGCACCTCCACCAGCTCCATCGGATTCATTTACTGCTCCAGTTCTTCACTTTGCAGCGCAAAGTGTTGGTGACCTGTTGAACATCCACCTCCCAGAACACCTTTCGCAGATCAGGGCAGGTGAGGGCGATCCCTCGACAACGGAGACAATCGCATCCAGAGCCATTTCCAAAGTTGGCGTCCTTTGGGCTATGTGAACTTTAAGCGACCGGTGCTAGGTGAGATTGTGAGGCAGGAGGAAGAGCACCAAAGAGCAAGCCTGCTGCAATAAGTTGCGCTGGAGGGCTAGCAGTTCCGATCATGCTACAGAATGCCGCCTCTTTCTCAAAGGCTTCACGCCGCAGGCAGGCTGAGCCCGCCAAAGCAAGGGACATTGGGAGACAGCTCTTCAGCTGCAGTCAGCCGCTGGCCTCCGCAAACTGATTGTAAGGCCCACCTGGAATTGGTCAATGTACGACTGGTGGTTCTCCAACAAAGGATCAAAAGGGCGCCCTCTGCATTTGGCCAAAGTTGGGCTTGTGCCCAGTTGAAGTAGTTCCAGCGTTGGCGTGGTGGACCAGCTGCATGAGCAGAAGCTCTCATCACCACGCGGCCATGCGACAGCAAGTGCCTCAGCGCATGGTGATGGTAAGTGTGCTTTGGGGTTGGTTGCCCTTAGCAGTAGCAGGTTGTCTCCCCTTCGATTGGGGAGCTTTACTGCCAGTGGTTGAGCTGTTGTACCTAACGAGAGAGCAAGCCGAGCTAGCCTTCTCCTTCCATGTGACTTGACGTGGGCCACAACATAATTTCTGCATCCTCGGAGTGCAAGACCCAAAAACAAGAGACATTGACCTCAGCACCGAGGGCGGGACTAAGCTTTTGGTGTTTTGGCTCCCACAGCAAGACCCTGGCCGTGGTCGGGCCAAACGTTCAAGCAGATGTTTCGCAATTTTTGGATAGCTTCGAACTTTCTAGTTGAGAAACATTTCGGCCTAGCTGAATTCACTTTGGGCTGTCACATCAGAGGACGGAGAACATTGGCTTTCCCAGCAGCTTGTTGAAATCTGTGTTCAGGAGACGAGTTGGCTGTTGTTTTTGAATCCATTTTTGCATGAAACTTGTCAATCAGTCTTACCTTTTTGCAGTGGTGCCCCAAAAGGTGTTGGATTACAAGCGGCGAAAACTCTCACCGACAACTTGGCCATACTTCCTAGGAGGGGTGGAGACAATGGTGCCTGTCAGTTTGTGGAACTTCCATTTGCACCAACGTTTCGAAGACCAAATTCACGAGGTGCAAGAAGATGATGGTACCAACAAATCATTGAACACTAAGTCATAAATAGCACAATGTTGCATAGTTTGGCCACCTGAATGTGGGTCTTGAGAAAGAACCCAAAGTGAAAGTTTTAGACCAATGAGGTCAATTGTTTTTGGTCAGGTGATCCACAACCAACGTGGGAAACGCATCCTTGTACGCTGAGGCCTCACCTTCGCACAGTCGAAAGCGGGATCCTATTGATAAACTCGGGGTGCGTGAGCCGAGGAAGTTTGCACAAAAAGGAACGTGATGCAGAATGTTCAGTCTTTAGTCGTTTTGTTTCAAGGTGTCGACGCCGGCAAGACATTGCTGGAACCGTATTCCTTTCTTCACCAAGTGGATCAATAATCTGTGTGAAGATGATTTAGGCCATCGGGCATCAATTGCGAGTCAGAAGATCTTGAGAGTTGCATTGGCTCCACACCAGGTTGGAATCCGGTCGATGAGAGTAACTTCTTCGACGATCTTAAAACCGGGCTCGTGCTATGCAAAGTGGTCGAAAGGCTCCAGACTTACGTAACAGATGTTCGCCGATGTTGACACCTGCTTTCTTTCTTTGACTCAGCGTCGCCTTGCAGGCTTGTGCCCGGAGCAGACTTGACGACCAAGGGAATTTACCAAAAGCCTCGAACACGTACTATTCTCAGTTGGCAGTGTTTTGATGCGGATTGTTTTTTACTCGCCTTGCGACATTTGAGGTGCGACATGCGTGGCAAATATAGTGGGGCTCTTGAACACTGCATCTACAGTGGTTTCAGAGTAGATGGCACCACCACCATTGGAGATTGCGCTATCTACCGTCAATCTATACAGATTGCCCCAAACTCCCTAACCGAGCCGCCTGTAGGACAAAGCCTTATCGGTGGCCTGGCGCACTGGGGTCATGCTGGACACGTTGTGACACTTGCGAAGCTTTCTCTGGCAGTGCTGGCTGTGCCAGGTGAATGCTAGCAATATGTGTTCAGCTGATGACATTTACGATGGCAAAGTGATTGCTGCAGAATGCTTGGATGTATGGGCAGCTGTTTGTTTGTTTGTTTGTTTGTTTGACTTGCCAAGGGCTTGTGCTAAGGTGACTCGATGTATCTCAGAAATCTTTGAAGCGCTCCAAATGCGAGTGTGATACTTGCTTGATTTCTTTCTACAGTCATTCTTGGAAACGCAAGATTCTACAGCTCTGCATCATGCCTTTGTTGTGCCAGGCGGGAAGTTAGGACTCGTTCACGAGATATGCTTATCTCCATGAACGCAAGGCTTGCCCCTAGAGGTGCAATGACCAGATGCCCAGGTTTCTTTTATAAAACGAACGTGATGGTATCAGCCACATCAAAAATGTAGGTTGTGCACTGTCCAAAGAGACCGTCAACGATCCATTTCGCTACTGCGACGCCCTGGTGGATGACTTTGCAGACTGCACAAAGATCATGGTTTGGGCCTCAATATTTTTGATGCCTCTAGATTAAAAACAATGGCCACCGTGCAAGAACGTGCATGGTTGTTCCTGAAGTGCAGAAACTGTTAAGCTTCACTTTTCAGTCTATATAGGCACTCTTGGTGAGCTGCGGCAAGGCTTCAGTCGAGGCGCTCTGAGACTCAAACAATCTCACAATTCAAGAGTTGGAGCTGTTAACAAGAGCGAGGATCTTCTGAGCTTAGCTCATCGGGAGCAGCCAGCCTGCCATGTGTTCCTTTCAATATGGGAAACCTTACCACAGGTTGTTGTTCTGAAGGTTTTCCTCTTCTTTTCCATGGGAGATTACCACTGGCTGTTTCGCCTTCCACGCCAGGACTGGACGCTTAC